TTCGAGTGGTCTGGGGCTCTCCAGATAAAAAAACATCCCCTCTACTGTCTCCCTCTCCCTGGGACCCGGCTGAGCGCCTGTGTTTATGTTAACACGTCGGGAGAAGGGGGGGCTGGGTCCTTTCCCCAGCAATGCCCAAACTGAGCTTTGCCTCCTCCCCGCTAGCACCCTCCTCCCCCAGGTACGGCTCCATCCCGCAGCACCGCCCGGCAATGCCCTTGGGAGCACCACCCACCCTTGCTGGTCGCCCCCCTCCTGCAACTCCCTAGGTTCACATCTGCAATGGTGCTTCCCGGGGCTAGGGAAGGAGGGAGTACCTGAAATTAAAATACGAAAGAAAAGTGAGAAGGGTGGGGGTGAGGAGAAAGAGGTGGGAGGAGCAGGGGGAGGAAGTGAGGGGAGTTTCGTGGTTAATGCCGCTCACCGTGATCCTTCTCCGCAGGGACCCCAAAGTGCGTGTGGGGTTTGGGGGGCACAGGATGGGGAGCAGAAACATGCATGCGGTGAGGGGGGACTGGCCGTGGGGAGACACTTACCTTCCCGGGGCAGGAGGGAACGAGAGATTGAGCGAGTGCTGGTAGAAAGGAGAGAGGACGAAGCTGAGGAGGGATGCAGGACCTCAAGGGGAGATGATGTGTCCTCTAAGCCAACGGCAGCGGCAGGAGCAGGATGGAGACGCCCGTGATAGGGCCGGGACAGCAGCATGTGACCCAGAGCTGCGATGAGTCAGGATTTAGCAACGCTTTGCAAACAGCACGTAGAGGATGGAGAGAGAGAGAGGCAGACAGACAGACAGACGAACAGGGGATAGGCGTAGACAGATGAGGCTAAGAGAGCCAGGGAATAGGAGTGGGTGCGCAGGATAAACAATTCCAGTCACTCCAGGCTCATTAATTATTTTCATTTGGATCAGAAAATCTTGTAGGATTTTTGGGGGCCATAAACCAACCACAGAACCTGTAACTCGCCCCCTTCCCCTTTTCCACCTCAGGTCTCCTGAGGATAGAGTGTACGAGTGCAGTGACTGTGAAAACACTGCAGTATTTTAGGGCAGCTTCCAGGACCAGGCCGAGTAGCAACATGAGGCAACATGAGGTGAAAGCAGCTCTGGTATATACAGCTCTCACTTTCCCAGCTGCACATGTCAGGGAAGGCATCTCCAAATCTTGCCTGGCTCTGGGAACAGGTGTTAAAAACAGTCGTCACTCAGTCACATCACCCTGGAGAGATCCTTCCATTTCCTGATGCAGGAAAGAGGGAGAAGTTAAATAACTCCACGCCTGACTTGTTTTCCCCTTTCACTGATCAATTCTGCTAATTGGGTCTGCAATGGCAGCAGGGTTGTGATGCTGGCCATTGCAATCAGATTGCAAAGCTCAGCTGCTGTTCCAGGCTCCTCCGCCCTTGGGACTGACCTCCCTCAGCTTTCTCCTCATGTAATCTAGAGGAGGAGAGGCTCCACCAGCATATTTGATCCTCTCTCCTTCCTTTTACTTCCTTCTCCTCCCCTCATTGTGCTGTTCTCATCTTTTCTTCTTCTTCTTGCCTTCTGAGACGGGTTCTGTTTGCCTCTTCCCGCTCATCTTGCTCAAATAGTTCCTTGTCGAGGCGCTGGAGCTGTGGCAGCAGGACCAGGACCTCCAGCCGGTAATTGGGTTCCTCACAGCATGGATTGTCCAACAGCACCAGTGCTTGCAGCATGGGGAGGACCTGCAGCTTCCCCACCTCCTGAAAGCTACTGATCCCGTTGTTCCTGAAGATGAGGAAGCGCAGAGAACAAGGGAAAGAGACACATGGAAGCAGTGAGATCCCTTCAGAACAGTATGCTGACAAGACAGAGAAAGCAAAACTCAGCAGCATGATAGACCACAGGCCTGGGGTCTACGATCCAAATCTGTCTGCAGTTGCCCAGACTGAGGGACAAAGAGGACCCTTCCTCCAGATTCCTCTGTGCTCAGTCAGTCCACTGAATTGTGAGATCACTGTATCACCCCTGGATGGCAACTGCTGAGAAATAAAGGGCACTCACAGTCACGTCCAGCACATGGAGAACAAGCCTACAGGAATCTGAAGTAATTAAGGCAAGGAATAAAAAGTATGAGGTGGGATGTGAAAGTGACTGGAGAGATCTTTTCTGAGAAGCCCAGGAAAGGCCCTAGCTGTTATGAGCCTAAAAAGGCCCTAGAAAGCTGAGTGCTGAAGACCAGTTATGTATCGTAAAGATCAACCCCTCCCCACTGGGTTTTCCACTGCAATGAAACCAGAAAACCCTAAACATCTAAAGAAGAGTAGAGGCTGGTGAGGGGATCTCTGGTCCCAACACAGAGCAGGAAGGACCCACCGTAGGTTGAGGTACTGCAGGCACTTCATGCTGCTACAGAACCCATCCAGGGTCCCAAGCTGGTTGTCACGCAGGTGTAGAGTTGCCAGCTGCCCTAGCCCCTCGAGGCCTTCCAGGCTCCGAATAGAGTTCTGAGCCTGAGAACCAGAGAGGCAGGATCAGAGAAGGAAAAAGGGGACACACAGGAGAAGAAAAAGCAGATATTTCTAGCCTTTGAAACTCTTTCTACCCTTCAGGTCCTCTACAACTCATAGCACAGCCTTCTCTGAAGCTAGATCAGGTTGCTCAGGGTCTTGGTGAAATGGATAGTGTTCAGATTCAAGGACCAAAAGTTTGCTGAAAAACTGTTTCTTGTAGCATCACTTGGTGACTAAGGCAAAAACCACCCCAGATGATTACTGCCAGCACACCACCTCCTTCCATGGCAGGGCCAAATCAGAGTCCCCAGGGCCTCAGAGAGCAGCAGCGTGGAGGGGAAAGCATGGACCTGAGCCTGAAAAAACTGTATTTAAAAGATAAATAACCAGCCCTTCCCAGTCACACAGTCCATGTACTCCAGGGATCTCCAGTGTCAGCTGCTTCTCTTGCAGGGTGAATTTACTACCAAGAAGTCTCCTTTTCTGCTCCTCTAGGAGTAGTGCTGCGTGTTCCTGAGAGAGGTTGCAGGGGGGTAGGTTTAATTTTTCAGGTATAATTGTTGTTATTCATGCATAGGTGCAACTTCTTGCAACAAATCCTGACAATCATAAAGCAGGAGGAATGTGTCCTGTCAGCTCAAAATTCCCCATCGCTGAATTTCATTCACTTCACTGCAATCTGAGCTGTGAGATGGGGAAACACGAAGCTCTGAATTTCTGCCCTAGTTTGACAGCAGGATCTCAGCTGGAGAAGACCTCCTGCCCAGTGCTAGGTCAGGCTGCTCACCGCCTTGTGCAGCCCAATTTGGAATGCAGCCAGCTCTTAGTCTTCCTGCTAGCAGGTATAACTTTTTAAATGCTAAATTTAATCTGCAGCTATGTCATACATTAACCAAATTTGGTGCAGCTCCTTTAAATTGAATTCACTTTGTCTTGAACCCTGTTCTTGAGGCATTAGCTGCATCTACCCATGGCTCACGTAGCACCAAAATCTTTATACAGAAAGCAAAGCTCTACTGGAAGAGACCCTCCTTCCAAAATGATTGAATGAGCAGATGGATGTGGGAAACGTATTCAAGCTTCAGAGATTCCTGAGACATTACTTCTGGATTTAATAACCATGTCTTGCAATTTGCCCGTGTCATACATGCAGCTCAGAACTCAATCCTGTCAGGAGCCTTCTTTAAATGTAGGCACTGTGTTTGCTTCCCTCCAAGCATTCACTAAAGTGACTGGTTTTACTTTGAAAGGCTGTGTTGTATCTAGTGAATTATCCTCTTCATCCCTTCTTCCAGCACCTCTAGTCCTAAAATCTGTTTTCCACCAGAAAACTGCAGGCAATCTCAGCAAGCAGTCTCCTCAGTGTGTTCTGACTGGGAGTCTTGATGAAAAGGAACCATACAGCTTGTCAAAACCTTTACCATCTTCAATTGCTTTATAAGAGTCAGTGACTCAGGACACCTATCCAGTGTTCACAAGCTATAGAGCTGTGTGATGCATGGGACTAAGCCATACATACTTTCTTCACTTTTGCCTCTAGGAGCAGATGTTCCCTGAAGCAATTGTTTCTGGTACCAGGAAAAAGCTCCTATCTTACTTTCACTGTGATATTCAATGAGTTTCTTTTTTTGGCAGCTGAAGGTGTGAATCATGTAATGGTGCTGGTTTTAGAGCAGTGTTTGATTAGGTCCATCAGAGAGGAGGAAGAGGCATCTCTCCCAGTCACCCAGAGCAAACCTGTTGCTTTCCCCACTGACCTCCTGTGGTCCTGGGAAACATCCAATACAGGCTTGCCTAACACTGCCAGAGCTACCCCAAAGAAGTGATTTTGTCTCTTTAGCTCTCTGAAATCTTTTCCTCTCTCAGGCTGAGTATATTGAACTGAACAGGGCAGCACAAAAATGTGCTGCTTTGAAGCCTCCTCCCCTCTTCCCATTAACTGGAGGTGCAGCAGCTCTATCCCATTCCCCAAGCTAGATGACCCCTTACCAAATAGAGGTTCTTGAGCTTGGGAAGATTGAGCCCTGCTGTACTTTCTAGCATGTTTCCTCTCAGCTCCAGGATTTGCAGGCTGAACAACTGGCCGTGACTCAGGCCCAGCGCTGTCTGGATTTTATTTCCTGAGTGCCAGAGAAGGAAGAAACAGAGAGTTAATCCCACCCAAAGACAGTGTCCAACGTGCACAGGAATGAAGAAGGGTGGTCTGTATCACCTTTCAGGCTGAGGTTGGCTAAGCGGGGGTGAGTAATGCCCTCCAAATCCTTGATGTGGTTCTGAGCAAAGCTGATGATCTGGAGGTAGGGCAGCTCCTGCATGCAGGCACTGGTAAGCAGATTCCCATCCACCTTCAGCCAAAGCAGGTGGGTTAGGCTGCTCAGTGGAGACAAATCTCGCAGCTTGTTCTCTGATAAATCCACATACCGCAGATGAAGGAAGCATGCAAGGAGGCTGATGTCTGTCAAGTTCCTGTGGGAGAGAGGATATGGATAAAATATCTCTCCTGTTTCCCCCTACTAGTAGCTTTCAGTTTGCTCCTCATCACTACTGGAGGGAGGGCACTCTCCTCTTCTCTGCTGCCCTAGGAAGCCTTGCTGGAGGGGAGGAAAAAGGCAGGTGATAGGGACAAGCAGAGTAATCTGTAAACAAGGCTGAATGTTAAGATTGGACCTGATTTCTGGGCATAGGGAGTCCTTATTCCCATTGGACTTTACCTGTCTGGAGAAGGCAGAACCAGTGCAGGAAAGAGAGTAAGTATAGGGGCTGGGTCTGTTAGACAGTAGTGGCAACACCAAGGACTGTGTGGAAGGACTTTACTAGTGGGAAAAAAGCCGGTTGAGATACCTGTGTGGCTGCTGAAAGACACAGTCCTACTGAGGCCTGTTAGGTCTAGGGTTATGTGGGTGTGCTCATGGGGCTGAGGCTCCAAACTGTCCCCAGGCCACTGCGGCACTGTACTTACAAGCACATGTCTTAAAGGTTAGCAGTTAACAGGAAAGATGCTTAATGGATATTTCTTGAAGTGGCTGTGGGGATGTCACCCTGTTCAGGTCTCCTTAGGAGGCAACAGTCCAGAGGGACTGACAGGTTCCCCTCTATCTAGGGGGACACTAATGTTCCCCACCAGCGTGTTTGGCTGTGGTGGAGGCCAGTCCCAACCCAGGGCTGAGGACGGACAACCTATGCTGAAGCACAGTCTGGAAGCCAGACGGCCAGAGAACAGGGGCTGGAAGTGCTCTGGCTTGTTGTGGCTGGTCACCAGTGGTCCTGTGGCGCAGGTGCTCTCTGGCTACACAGACACACGGGGAGGAGGCAGCCTTCTCCTGGGGCAGCCGTTGCACACTCACTTGTATTTGGCTTCAAATTTCACATAGGCGTGGGCCAGGCCGTTGCCGGTCTTGCAGAGGAGGGAGAGGCCCTCCTTCAGGATCTCCTCCGTCAGCGGACTCGGGGCCAGCACCTGGCAGTGAAGGAGAGAACGGAGCGCCAGCGCTGGCCTGACCG